CGAAACGACATGCAACAGAAAAAAATTTCAACATCGGATACATTAAACCATTTTTTTTGTACATAATCGGTTATCCGAAATATCAGGCATCCGAACCACCCCAGTCCCCAATTGATTTGAATAATAGACGCTCTACTGTAATCTTAATCATCGCTATAGTTCTTTTGCCCGAGCAACGCCGGGCCTACCTGCTAGTTTTAAAATACGTAATTTGTAATCGGCAATTGTCTCTAAACATTGAACGTTAAAAAAAAGTTATTATTATTATTATCGAAATTTCCTTGTTTGATTATTGGAATTTAATGCCAAATTATGTTTCTTTTTAGGTCACTTTTAAATCACTAGTCTATGAAGAATCATTTCGAATAATAAGGCGTAACAACAGTCGATTTGAAGAAGGTTTTTACACTCGTAAAAAATTCAAAAATATTGATGCTTTAGTCTGTATTCAGTAAAAGTAAAAATTCGATAATGTACAAAAATATTAAACACAAGTTTTAAAATGAAAATTTTAATAAATGCATGTACACAATTTAATACATATGACAACATGTGAACATATTAAATAACTTTGAAAATATCACAAATTCTTTATTTTATAAATATGAAAAACAATAAAAATATAAAATTAAATAAAGTAACTAAATTTGATTCTATAATTGTTTTATTTATTTTTACGAAACATTAATAAATATAACATAGGAAATGGGCAATTATATTTCAAAATTATTCAGCAGGTTTATAAAAATAGAAATTTTCAGCAATAAAAAGGCTTCAAGTTGCATTTGCATACGATCAGATCGTTGCATATATTATAATTTTTATGCCATATTATGTGTGAGCAAAGTCTTTGGTATTGAACCGTTCGAAAAATGCAGTTGTTTCGAAGATCAAATTTATGGAATGTCAGAAAACACAATGAGTATATTGTATGGATATTACGTGAATTTACTTCAACTGTTCTTATGGTTATCCTCGCTTTCCTTATTTGTGATGATTTTCAACGAAAATTATATTTGCTACCAATATTCTTATGTATTCGGAAAACATGGAATAGAAATGCAGGTCTTGGTTCTAATTCTAAATATCTACGTTGCTCTCCAATTTACAATTCTGAAGAAAAATCAGATTTTTAGCCATTTCATGAAAAGCACTTATTTTAGCGAAGAAAAGTTGCCAGTACAATTGGAATTGCCTATATTAGGGTATTTGTTTTGCATATTCCTTATTGTTTTAATTGTTTCGAATGCAGCAACGATTAATGTGTTCCTAACAATAAAGAAATATGCTGGAAGTGAATTCGAAGCAACCTTCTGTTCGATTTATTTTTCGTTTTTGTCTCTGCAATTAACGGGACAGATATGTTCAGTTCTTTTCGTATTTTCAATTGGTGGAATAATCATAGCGAAAAGACTTATAAAGTTATCTGAAGAATTACAACAAATAAATACAACTCTTTTACTGAAAAGAAAATTACAAGAAATCTGCGAAAAACACACAGAGATTTGGGAGATTTTTCAAATGATCAACAAAAATTGGGGAAATCTTTTTGCTCTGATATACGCCCACTATACATACGAGACATGTTTTTTATGTTACGCTGCCTTGTTCTTTGATTTAAGCCTTCAATTTCGAGTCATTATTAGTGTAATTTCGTTGCTATTCTTAATTGGAACTCTTTTGGGTTCTTGGTGTCTTTCTTATTTGACATCTCTGGTAATTATATTTTACTTTTCTTATTATATTTTTAGTTATGTAAATAATGACATGGTTATTATTTACATAACTAAAGTTGTTATGTAAATAATAACCATGTCATTATTGATAATTTTCTACTGCTATATTAGTGTTTTATCGATAATTTTCTACTGCTATATTAATTATCTAGTCTTTAGGTTATTTCGTTAAATTACTACACAAATGTTTTAATTTTTGGTATTATATCATAAAATTGACTCGATTTCTTGAAGAAAATTTTACCGTTTGGTGTCTTTTAGTTTTTTGATCTTTGATAATAATATAATAAATATTCTTTTTATAAATTTAATGCTACAGAATTTCATATTATAAACAAATAAATGTAGAATTAAGTTTAAAGATAAGTTTAATATACTTGCTGTCGTTTCGGTTTTATAAGCAAACAAAATACAAAGTAAATCCACCTATATTAATGTAATCAACTGTAATTAAAACAGATTATTTAAGAATAACACTTAACAAGTATTATCATTATGTAATTAATAACTGATTTATTCTTTTTCTAGATCTATGATAACTTCATTTCTATAGAGAGAATTTCATCAAACAACTTGTCAGTTTTATTCAAGTTCAAGGTAAATTGTAAGGATATACTTTTATTTAATTATTTATTTCTATTATGTAATTATTTTTTGACATTTTAAGGTAACTTGCTTCATGAAAAGATTCAAAAAGGCAAAGATGGGAATTTCTGTTAAAGATTTCTTTTACGTTCAAAAAAATTTCTTGATTCGGGTAAGTTTATACGTTGATATATTACCTCTGAGCAATGAGCCAATTGTTCTTATTTCCAGGTGGTCAGTGCTTTATACTCCATTTTTTCTTCGGTGTTGCAAGTCACAGGAGTGATGAACAAACATAAGTCATGTGTCAAAACGTCTACATTCGGTAATTTCACACTCGATAAGTTTAATTTTACTTTTGAATAAATGAACGACTTTACACGCGTGAAATTTGTATTTTGTTAGTGCTAAAAATACATTTTCTTGTAAATGTAGGTTTGGTATATAACATGTATATACAAACGTGTAAAATATCGTGAAACATCACTTTAAACAATATCGTATTTATTCAAAAAACAAAAATAATATCATAAATATTCAAATTTAACGAATATATTAATGCTTATCAATTAATATTATTTATCATTATTATCTGTATTACTGTGTTTCTATAGTAATTAGGTTGCAGTTATTAAATTGCATACTGACAGAGAGCAATTTGCAAATTGCATGCCATTACATAGCAACACTTGTGTTTTTTCCATCTATATTCAGTTGAATAAAGGTGGAAAAAAGCCAAGTGTTTAATTAATAACACAATCTTGTGTTCAACAGTCAAGTTGTAAATGTTGTTATAATAATATTAAATAAAATGATTCTAAACTAATTAGCGTAATTAGAATGTTTTAAATTTCCCCTGATACGTAGGGTTCATTGTAAATGTGATTATGAAAAAACTTAATTCTTTAAATTGTAACTTTATAATCTTTGTATTCAGCTTTTTCAATGTGTCAATGCTCAGTTATTTATTTTATAATAATTGGCTGAATAGAAGTGAACATTTTGTATGTTTATAACACAAATATATAATGTAATTAACATTGAAAATGACTTTAAATGTCTAAAACCAATAATTTTGTGTTTCTGTAACGTCTATCTTCGTTTCACAGTCATTTTTATGTTAATTTAGGAATGGCTTTTACTGTCCAAGAATTGTTCAGTGAAAATTTATTAATATTTCATTACATTGATGTAATGCAATAACTTTCAATCTTGAAGAAAACCAGTAAGTTAGATATATTTTGGTTGTTATCATCTGAGATCGTTATCAGTTTTTTTTCAACAAATGAAGCTGTGAAAGGATGATATAGAAATAACCCCTTGGAAGTATGTACTGTACACACAATAACCATGTGTCATCAGTTTAGAGATTTCGAGTATGAGAAAATAGTTGATCCTACTTGCATGGTGCATTCGATTCTTTAATTAATTTATGGATTGAATTTTTACATTTCATGGTCTGAACATTTACTTAAATCACCAATTTTCTACTACTCCACTCACTATTGTCAAAGTCTGAGCAGCAATATACGGCTTATCCACAAGTGGCTCGTTATATGCCACATATCAATACGATGACTTCAAGAGCAAATCTACATCAAATCATTACTGAATTTAAGAAGGATAAAAACTACAAATTTTCTAATGTACTGTCCAGCTGCATGCAATGGTTGCGAAGACTAATACAGTTTGTTAAGCTTTCAGCACTTTTTTTGTTTACATTAGCATCGATGTTGAACATTTGGCTTTAAACTTTTGACTTATGGTGACGAGTTTCCTAGTTTGACGAATGCATGTTTTATATTTTAGAAATTATATATTATTATTTTACATCAAGTCCATGAAACAGTTAACTCAACATGTCAAGAAAGAACTATAAAGCATCATTGTATGAGTTTGTTTAATTGTAATGTATTAGAACCATTTTTGTTTTGTTTTAAACATTATGTAACTGGACAAAGTCATGTCATCGTTCTAAATGACCACGTGAATCTTTGTTAATTGCATACTCCAATAGTGAATGACTATTTCAAAAAGGGAATAGACCATGTGATCTATATGCAATCGTTACGAAGTGCCTGCAGAAAAACACACCTGTTACTAAAATTCAGTTTGCTAATTCACAAGGTATGAATCTTAACTGACTTGTCTAGTACTGTACATGACAGAAACGATGCTATGCAGTCGATATAATGTTTTATTAATGTTGCATAATTTTTGCATCTCTTGCAAGCTATATGATCGGCTATTCCTTTTCATCATTACCTGACTCTTGTAGATTATATGACTCATTGTATATTTGCTCTACTGCGTTCAAGAATATATACAAATCCCCTAAGTTTTGCACTTCTGTGTACACATTCATATACCGAAAAATATAAGAGTATAAACGTAGAGAGGCTGTACTTTTTTAATGCATAAGAAACATATAAAATTGAATTACTCAAACTTTCAGCTGATAATAAAACAAGATAAAAAATAACTTTTCTTAATTAAGTTTTTTTTTACTTTGAAATAATATGTAATCACGAAGTAGTAATTACTTTACGAATTATTATAGACAAAGGAATACGCATTTTTCAAACTAGAATGTATTAAAATTTTTGAATTTCCTTTTCTTTCTAATAGTGTAAAATGCAATGCTTTAAAAAATTGCAATTTTTGTTTCTAAAAAATTTTTAAGAACAATAAAATGTTCGCATTATGACAAAAGTTCCATTTTGATGAAGTCACTTTTTACAGCAGAGCTTTCTGTGTAAGCTAATGTTAGAGCCGAAGTATTAACTTTCATCTGCAGTCTATCTTTGTTACAGCTGTCAATCAATTTAGGTAATAATAATTATTTAGAACATGCTTAAGAATTGTAAAAGCTAAATCTAGTCACATTTTAAATTTCTAAACATGTTCTTTCTAAATTTCGGAATGATAAAATATTATAAATCTTTAATGTGGTACTCTTTGTGACAAAGTGAAAATTTTTATTATTATTTAATTTTTTTTTTAAATTTAAAATGTAATGAGTCCTTATTTTATAATCTTCAAGAAGTTTGTATAAGATTATTAGCATAATTTTATTATTAATTTTAATGTAATTTAATGCAAAATTTAAAAAAAATTAGACTACTTGAAAGATTAGAGAAACGATTAAAATTTGAAAATGATTGTTTAAGAAGGAATGTGATCAAATAAATAGGCCACGAAAAGTTTTTCTATTTTTACACGATGTCTAATGCACCAAATTAAAAGCGAAATAACTAAAAATTCTTAATAACATTACACACGAATACATTGGTTACAATAATTGAATAATACTGTTAAATAATAAAAAAAGCTTTTTAATCGGCTTAGTCTGTATTATCAAAACACTATATTGTTGTTTCATTGCATTTTGTACAAAAATGCAACACATAAATCGCATTGCTGCAAGAAAGCACAGTGATCACAGTTCCAAAAGCACCATCTAACGTTTTATCTAATGAAAAATTTTGAGGTCTCACATATCTCACCCATGTACACTCATTATAAACAATGATAAGGTGAAATAGACACGAAGCAACTCAACTCTCATTTGTCACATGTTTATGTGTCATTTTATAGGGTTTAAATTACTTTATATTTCAATTGAAAATTGAGAAATTCCTATACCATTCTGTCGTAAAAGAGTATTACAACGTTGGAAAAAATTTTAATTTTATTCACTTTCACGAAAACCAATTTTACTGATGTTAAAATTTTTCGATTTTACATACATTTTTAACCAATTTAACATAGGCCATCAAAGGCTTTAATTATATAATTATAAAGGTTATCAAAATTATAAATGTTTCAAAAAGGAACATACCGTGCTTAAATTGTGATGTGGTGTATAAAAAATCTAGCATATACAGTCGAGTCCGCATAAGTCGTCATAGGTATAACTTGACATTATCTGTTAAGTAGTCAGTTTTCTGTGCTCCCGCCGACTTACATAGTCATTAATGTTAAAAAACTGGTTTACTCGACACCGTTTAAAAAGAAACCAAATTCGCATACTACTGTCACGCTTCTAGTGATAGAATAATGAAAACGTTATAAAATTTACACAGCTTCTATGCTTTCAAATTAAAAATTACGTGATCAAAGAACCTTCTCTACATTTAACAGATAATTAAGTGCATTATACTTTAATTCTATTATTGTTAAAATATTTTTTTACCTCTTGAATATTGTTGCTAACTCTCTGTGTTTAATATTCAGAGTCTACCGTAGAATCCAACATCAATTTTATTTTTTCGGCTATTATATCATCGAACAGAGTACGTTCTCGGCGGTAATAATATTGTAATCGTGTCGTACAATGACGCTCCGAGTTTTCAATATTTCGACGTCTTGACTCACCTGAATTCAAAAATATCAAAAAGCTGATACTGTATGTATACGTGTGGAATATCGTATAAATTTGCATTGGACTCGTCGAATATCTGTGGATGACATAAAGATTAAGAACCGACACTTGACACGGTAGCTTGTATATAGGAGGTATCGATGTTATTAAATTGATAAGATTAATAATCGAGAAAAAATAAAGAATCATGTATTACATCTGTATTGGAGTGTGGTTTAATCAAAATTTTACTCGTTTTTGATATGTATAAACCCATCTTTACTCTCGAAATTTAGCCTTTTGCCTACTTATAATAAGTAGAAATAAAAGTCATTTTTCACATAAAATCTCATAACGAATGTTGCCATATATAACTTAAACTTTGTGCTACTGTGTATTATTCTTTCTGAAACAAAGTATTTCTCAGTGTCAAAGTTAAGCAACTCGTTTACTTTCGTCGTTTATCCTGCGAATAAAATAGGCGTATATAGAAAAATTTTATGCTTTTCAATAATGTATATTTAGAATTGTATTACATAATTAGTAGAGCAAGTGCAGCAGGATAACATTTTAAGCTTACGTCAACAATTCAAATTTAATATAATTACAAATTTATTATACAAAATGACACAGACAAGTCTTAAAACACACAGTAGTGCTCTACAGTATAATTCCCGTTAGTATTCAACCGCAAACTTTAGTTAAATTCTTAAAATGTGAAAAAATATGTAATTCGTGAAAAATTTTAGTGTAAATAGAATTTGTAATAATTTCTGTTTTGACAGATCTACAAGATCGAGTAAAACACTAAAGTTTTATGAGTGACACAAAGTCGAAGGAAACATTAATTTAAATTAAAAAAAGTATTTTTTCACTTAATTAGGGGAGACCGGGGCAAGATCGGCATGTTAAGCTTTACTTAAATTTTGTGTAATAAATACTGCTGTAAACTGAAAAAAAAGCTTTGCATATTGTCTATTGGAATGTTACCTTACTATAGAACTGGTTAAAATCAGTNATTTGTTTAAAAAAAAAAGCGCTTGACAAACTTGCCCCGCATGCCGAAGTTGCCCCGGTCTCCCCTATAAAAATTAGTGATTTATTACGTTTTTTTGTTCCTATGTTGTTTATTTTAATATATGTATATATACTTACTTATGTCTTTTTCAGTTGTTTAATAAAAACTGTTAATGTGCAAGTAAAATTTCTCGAATGTAACGTGATTTTGGATGATTTTCCCCCAACAATATCTTTACACTATGTTGTCAATTAAGGTATGTAATGAAATTGTTTTTAAGATATTATCCCGGTTTTTACACTTACAGTCATTATCTCTGCAACCAATCATTAAAAAGTTGCCAACGCTAGAATATTTATACCAAGTTTCAGTTGTTTATACAATAGTGGAGCTATTAACCACAGACTTAATCTTATCAGACGTAACATTGCCGTAAGTAGAGACTGCATTACATGATTTGTGTTTGTTCATTACTCCAGTTACTTGCACAACCGAAGAGAAAATCGAATACAATGCACTCACCACCTGTGAAAGTTAACAATATGTTTAATGTACAGTGGTAAAGCTTATAAAAATTGACTTACCCGAATCAAAAAATTTTTTCGAACGTAAAAGAAGTCTCCAATAGAAATACCCATGTTGGTTTTTCCGTATCTTTTCATGAAACAAGTTATCTGAGAATATTAAAATAATAATTACAAAATTGTAATTTATAATTGAATAAATACAATTTACTCGCATGGCACCTTAAACTTGAATATAACTGGCATGTTGTTTGCAGAAAATCTTCTAATCGAAACGAAATTATCGGAGATCTGAAAAGTTCCATTAAATAGTTAATAATTATATTGTTATTATTATAATCAATTTGCTGTTTACTAAAATAATGATTCCGTGTGAATGGTTTAACGAAATATACAATTTTTCACACTTAAATTAAAAATCCATATTAATGCAAGCGAGTCAGTTATGTTTTGAATAAATAAATACAAAATTCACAAGAGTAAATTCAACTCGTTTTGGTCTTTAAGTAATATGATTTTCGTGTAATAAAATAAAATAGTCGCAGATAATGCGGGTTATCTGTAAACTGTGCATGATTAATGGTTTCGGGTTGCTTCAGTTTCTGGAAACACAAACTGTTTGCGTTAGGAAACACGACTTCGAATACACATCGGTAAAGTCTATGTTGTTGTATGAAACTAAAAAAGTTTGTGCTGTTATGGATCTGAATATTGTCAAGTAATAAGACTCGCACATGAAAAATATTCTTTAAATATGACTCAAGTATTATAAATATGACTTTTTAAATATGATATAGAAAACCGTTATTTTTTTAGTGTCGAGAACAGAGTTAGATTGACGAAAAAATGAGATCAAACATGGAAATGTTCATGGCAAGAAGAACCGATTAACTGCATACGAACTTCCGATGAAAACCGAAAGTTGTGTTGTTTTAATTGGAATCTTTCCTTCTGAAAGCAGTAATAGATGATCTGTTGCTCTTTTGTGGGACTGCATAATAACTTCTTATTAATTTAAAACTTGGTTGTCGTTTAGGCTAAGTGTCTTCGGGATCGGATTTCTACTTTGTATTTACTGTGAAATTCAATGGTAAAGCAAGTACTGGCATCGATTAATCAACAGCACTGGTCGAAGTTGGGATATTGCATGATGCTTTCAAATTTGCTGTAAAGCCTTTAATGTTAGTCATGCGAACATAATTGTGAGAAGCCAAGGGCACAGAATGGTTCTATATCGCTTACAGACACACAATCGTGTCTCACTTTACTACGGAGGGCTTTAAAGTAAATAAGGCGGAGAGAGATGATCTCGAAATCACTCTTCTCCTCGTCAGGATACCTGACACCACATAGTCAATTTCGCGGACTATCACACGGTTACTTCTGAATATCTTTACTAAGGGGTTGCGTTAAAATTGAGAAGAAGAAATCTTTTTGGTTCAGTCAGTAATGAGGCCATTGTTTTATATAAATAAGAAAGAATATTAATAAACCACATAAAAATAAAAATAGAGATTACAACTATGCTAATCTTACTATCTTGCGGAGAGAGAGATTACAAATTTTTTAAATCATTCTACCTTGCAAAGGTTTCTTTTATACTTTTAGTTTCGTTGATTTCTCCTGTAGATGGGTCGAAGACAAGGTTCTTTAAAATTCAGGTTCTCATCAGGTCTTTGAAGACGGCGCTTCATTTAATGACTTCTTGATTTATGAAAATGGAGACAAATCTTTACTAGACTATGGGCGTTAGCTATAGAGAGACGGCATGAAATACGTCCTTCTTCTCTTAAAAGTTTTGGCGCACTTTTCGAACAGTATGAAAAAAGATTTTTTCCAAATTTTTTTTCAAAGATTTCTTCCAATTGGAACATCATATTTTTCCCACGTAAGCAGGATAAGTGGGGAATTACGGAGAGGTTGCAAACTGTTCGTTGTGTTACTCAAAATTTAGCAGATAAGGCATAAAGAAAAAGATGTTCAACTTCAGTTGAAGAGAAAGTGTGTTTTACAGTTTCCTTCGTGTTTGAAAATAAACTTTTTCCCATCAAAATCATAAAATATTACTTATAAAATTTATTAATTTGGTTTAAACTTTTGATATAAGGGAGGGGTATTCAAAATTTCAAATAATAATTATCCACGTAATTGTAAAGTTTTTGCCAGACCATAAGTATAACAAAAGATCTTGATATCATCCCGTCAGTGTTCGCGTGCATAAATTATAGCATATTTTAAAAGCTCAAGTTTTATCTTGATTTTAATAGCTTACAGTTGACACCTGTAATATACTAAAATAAAGTACTTAACCCAGGTGGATCCTTTAAAAACGATCCCTGAAATTAATCAAATATGATTTCTTGGGTGCCATGTTTTATTTAAAACACAATATAAAAATTTTGTCTAAAACAGGCACTTTTCTACAAATAACTAGTATTTCAAAAACTAGAGATAATAGAGGATTTTCGAATTCAAATTTATTTTCAGCACAATAAAATGAATTATAAGAATTATTTTTTTCACATTAGAATATTGATTTATAACTTACTTTATTGCTGGGCAACGTATTTCTAAACGTGCGACTCTCTGCTAATAAATACTATTTATTATGTTATTGAATTATGTTTTTGCAAAAGCTAATTTAATAACTGTATATGTAATATCATATTTTCTACATTACTGCTTAATCTATATATATTTTGATAACAATACAATATCGTACTTACCAGAGATGTCAAGTAAGAAAGACACAAAGAAACCGAAAGACATCCTGTTAAGAATACCATCGAAACAGCGGCCAAAACTACTCGAAGGTGGATGCTGACATCAAAAAACATCGAAGCGAAACACAAAAAACAAGTTTCGTATGTGAAGTGGGCGTACATCAAGGCAAAAAGAATTTCCCATTGGTTGTTGCCCATTTCAAACATTTCCCAAATCTCTGTGTGCTTTTCGCAGATTTCTTGTAATTCATACTTCAGTGATGAGGAAGTTGTCATTATTAGTTCTAATTCTTCAGATAACTTTATAAGTCTCTTGACTAAGATCACTCCAATAATCGAAAATAAAAGTAGGACCGAACATATCTGTCCTACGAATTGCAGAAATAGAAACGAAAAGTATATCGAACAAATCGTTGCTTCGAATTTACTTCCATCATATTTTCTGATTGTTGAAAACATAAGCATTGCTGGAACGTTGGAAACAATCAAAAGTAAGACGAATACGCATATTAAATAGCATAATACGGGTAATTCCGATTGCCTCGGCAAATTCTCTTCACCTTCGTAGGTGCTTTTCATGAAATGAATAGAAATATTTTTTCTCTTCAATAACGAAAATTGAAGAGCCACGTAGATATTCAGAATTAGAATCACGACGTGCATTTCTTTTCCGTATTTACCGTATATGTGGATAGTTCGGTGACAAACGAAAATTTCATTGAAAAGTACAACAAATAGAAACAGCGAAGAAATCCATAAGAAATATTCAGTTATTTTTACGTAAAAGCCGTAAAATGTTCCTTTGCGATTTTGTGGACATCGAGAATTTTGTTCCTCAAAACAGACGCATTTTTCGAAAGGTTCCAGTGCAAAGACTTCAGAAACGGAAATTATTGAATAGAAATTATAAATTGGGCAACAATTTCTTTGCGTCCACAAGCAATTTGTGTCTTTTCTTCTGCTGAAAGTTTCTATTTGTCGAAAACTGCTAAATAATTTTGAAATGATATTTCCCATGCTTTTAAGTTTTGCTTGCAAATTCCTTAGCAATCTACATATAACGATTAAAAATTAACCATTAATTCGTTTGTTTCTGTTTCGGTTTTTTTTTCATTGTTTATATTCACACAAATAAAAATTATTTGTGTGAATATAAATAAAATTTGTATAACCAATAAAAATTACCTGTTGTTTTTATGTAACAAGAAGTTTGCCTGTTATAGATTGCCTTATATTCTTGTTGTTCTTTTTTGAAAACTTGAGTAAACATTAATTCTGAACGATATTCTACTACAGTTTATGTCTTCAATCTCGCAATATCTTCAATTAATTTCACTATGGTCGATCTACAACGTTGATTTTCCTGAACGTTTCTTTAGTTCACAGAATTTCTTCAAATTAAAACTAAGTTATTCATTCAAATCAAGTTATTCATTCAAATCAAGTTATTCATTCAAACCTCATGACAATAAATTTTTCTCTAGAAAACGAAATAAAATCAACGTTTAAAGATAAATAATTATATTTAATTTTCGTGAATGAAATCACTAGTTTTCTATAACGAATTTTGTTTGGGACTTATTTCTTTTTATCTGAATGCTTAATATCGTGAATTCGATACAACTTATATGAATTGTTAAAATTTTCAGT